TATATATATATATATATATATATATATATATATATATATATATAAATGTGTTTACTGCAGTTAAAATGACACATTGATTTTGCTTTGTGTTAAATAAAAACTTTCAAAGGTATAATCATTCCTCTTTCTTATTTTGCTTAATGACATTTAACTCTGCATGTCATTCCTGAAATTCTGATGCACAGAATCACAAGTCCAACTGTGTCACAGAGTAAACACAATAAAAACATGTATTATCTGCAGCATTGTTCATTAAAATGGCTCAAAACTATTAATGCATTACTGAAAATATGGATACGATAGGCACACTTAATGATAGTGTAGACCATTGCATTAGGTAATACATTCAGCAAGTACTTTTACTTTTAATACTTTAAGTATTTTTAAGAGCAAGTACTTATTTACTTTTGCTTAAGTAAAATATTAATGTGGTACTTCTACTTTTACTAGAGTACATTTTTGTCTGTTTATTTGTACTTTTACTTAAGTACAGTATTTGAGTACTTTCTTCACCACTGTCTGTGTGTGACGGTTATTAATTCAACACTAATCTGAATGAATTGTCATCACATTCTAACTTTTGAAGTGTAAATGATTCCAGACAAAAGTTAGTGTGTTTCAGCAAAACTTAACCATAGAAATATCTGCAAAACCATCAAAATAAACCTGTCCAGATGACTTGACTGAAAAATGTTGGATTGTATACCTGGATTATTGAGCATGGACTTTGTTGTCATCAAAATAAACTTTTTATATGTAAACAAAGACTGGGTACCTTATGCAAATTAGTCCTTTTTTTAAGTAATTTTACAAAACTCTGTACAAAAGGTATTATTTAGTTTAGATCATTCGTGAGCATTTATTTCAGACACTTGTGTGTAAAAAACATTTGTTGGAATATATATTAAAAGAGAGTGATTTGTTAAATTGTTTCTAATAATAAAATACTGAAACAAAGCATATTACTACCAAAAAAAATCAACAATTTCACTTTTATTCTTACTCGAAAGACACGAGGTTATCGGATTATACCTGTATAAATATATACACGAACATTTCAACAAGCAGACAGTTGTAAATAAAATCCAGCAGAACATTTAGTAGCAATAGGTTTAATAAAAGTTAATGGCGGCATAATTTTGATTAACACCCTAACTGCATAATGCTAAATGCTACTACAGTAGCATCTACTTTATTCGACGTTAGTAAACTATTATTCATTCTCCTCTAATGAAACTTAACCAAAAATGAGAATTTTATTACCGTATGCGACTGTGACAGTTATTGTTTGCGACGACATTTTGGGTTTCAGTGTCTCTAATATCAAATAAATTACACGCAGCTAACTGCTATCGACTTTTTAACTTTTTCCGGTCGACACCGGATACAATTCATTTTTACTACTTTGTCTTTTCAAAATAAAAGTATAAAAGAAAAAAAAAAAAGTTACAACGATACAGCTTTTATCCGCAGTCCTGATGCTTTACGTACATCACATATGAAGTACGCCAAATATAAAGTGCATTTACATTTATGTACATTAACTTGTCAACGAAATCATTGGATGTGTGTATTGAATTACGTCATCAGTAAATGGCAGGCTCTGTGGCGCAATGGATAGCGCATTGGACTTCTAGTTAAACTCTGGAGAAGAGATTCAAAGGTTGTGGGTTCGAGTCCCACCAGAGTCGCACTTTTGTAGTATCCTGATGCGTGTTCAATAATCCAGGTAGAAAACTTCAAAAAAGCCTAAAGACTTAAAAAGTCTTTCAGATGAAAGATGAAAACTTTCTACAATTTTTTTTGCATTTTGAACCCATCCTGAGGACCTGACTTAAATTTTTGGACTAGTATGAATAAAAACTTTTGTTTACAGTATTAAACACCCAAGTGACAACTCTTGTTTAAGCAAAGTGATGACATTGTGGTTTTTAGACATTAAAAAACTTCCCATCATTAATCCCTGGCAAGACTGGTTCAGTAAATGCTGCGAAGAAGGAAATTAGTTTCCATATTAAAACTTAGTAGATGAAGTTTGTTACACACTTTTGCTTTAATTTAGTAAATGTTCAATAAAAACAGGAAAAAAAAACTTTTCAGTTTGGGAAATAAACACAATAGTTATATTTTTCTATCAGTAAGAAATATCTAGTTATGTATTTATTTTTCCAAGGTTTTTATTAAAGCAGAGTGCAACATGGTTTTGAGATTACATGACGGCACCCAGGTCAAACACGGTGATTTTAAGTTAAGTATATGTTAAGTGTGTTGGATAACAGGAATGAAACAGAAAAAAAAAACTGTTTTCACATGGTATCTCTGAAGTCTTAGAGTTCAATTTTATTCCGTTTTTTGTATTTAGAGTAAACCTTTTCCTGTTGCAACATCATTTGCTGCTAATTAATGGACATTCTCATTAAAGTACATGAATAACATTCAGCTAAAATAAGACACAATTTGAAACAAAATATAAACCTAAAAGTAAAAAAACTACAAAAAAAACAAGAAGAAGAAGGGAGAGAATTATTTTAAAAAGTTCTAACAAGGTAAAATTGGGTCCTCTGGATGGATTCTTCCTTGCTGAAATGTTTTGTCTTTTATCCAAATGACTTCTTCAGTCTGAGGAGCTGCAACAAACTCAGCTTTATAAATAGCACCTTCTCATAGTGGATCAGCCAGTTTGCTAGTGACAGCCAAAACTAGTTTTTAACATGCAAAAGGAGGATATCAGCCTAACGACCGATCGTTAGTGCCCTGACGGCTGCTTGCTATTCACAGAGAGCTGACTGATACTTGCTACCCTGTAAGTATTCAGTCTGCACCTGCCATCCTTCCTCTTCCTAAGCATCGGTGGCTGATGCAGCTTTATGCCCAAGATGTCCTACACAAGCTGGATGAAATCAAGGCCACCATCACCTCACAGTTCAGTTAGATTTTGAAATGGATTCATCAAAAAAGATGACCAGAAAACTTGTTGGAAGGAGTTTTGGCACAGCTACCTGGACTATAGATGTTGGCAACGGACATGGCCGGTGATTCAGCGCTCACGGCCAGTAAAGGTTTAGTCTCTGAGTTACAATACAACAACATAAAGTACATAAGTAATTTTAATCAGGCATGTTTTTAAAAGAGATGAGTTGCAGGGCTCAAACTCGCAGTTAGCAAGATGAAATCTGACGGATCGTTATATCCTCAACGGGAGTTAGTTTTATTATAAAATGCCAGCACTTTATTTTCAATAAGTTTGTTAGACCAGGATAAAATAAAGCTGCTGATAAATCTATGAAGTACATATAAATCATCAAAACAAATCAAATTTGCTTATAAATTAAAAATCAAATCTAACTTTTACTCAGTGTGCATACTCTTTTTGTTGCATCTATATAATATGTTGACATACTGTATTATTATTAAATTATATGATGATGTGACAATAAAACAACAATGTAGAGGCTGCGTGATTTTGTTGATGCGCAAATGATTTTAAAATCCGTGCGTGTTTTATATTTTAAATGGGTCTTAAGCTGCAAGTCATGTGGAAGAAACAAATCCTCACAACTAAACGTGAACTGAGACAGTGATCGATAAATGATAAGAGTCCAGGTTAAGTTAGAACACGTCGTTTATTTTGCATGTTGAGAGTAGCCCTGCTGGTTTCAAACAGGCTCAAACAAACAAAATAACATAGAAAACTGTTGCAAAAAAGTTGAAATAAATTAATGAAAACACTGACAAGTTGAAGAAAATGACAGACAAAGAGGAGGAACGCCGTTTTAAAGGAGGTTCAGTTTGTTCCACGTGGCGACCAGTCGCAGAAACAAAACAACAGAGGCAGCTTGAACAGAGACGTGTCTGCAGGTCAGACACTATAAATGTTGCTCTACATAGAAAAGTGTTTCAGGTGAAGTGCAGCCGTTTAAATGTGATCCGTTGAGTTTATGTGGCGGGAATCTGCGGCAAACCAAACTCATCCACCAAAACACCGTCCTGAAAACAAAAGAAAGAAGATAAGTACTGTATTTTTCAGCATGTAAGGTGCAGCGGATTATAAGTGAAACAAAACAAACTTTATTCAGCTCATTCACAATAATCACATAAAATCAGTTCAAGGTCAATGAGCACAACCAGAGTTAATACATAAGGCTCACTGTTGATTTTTGAGAATATTAAAGGATTATAAGTGTGCCTTATAGTCTGAAAAATACAGTGGCGGGATGTAACTAAGTACTTTGTTACTGTACTTAAGTACACTTTTCATGTATCTGTACTTTACTTAAGTAGAGTTAAACATGGGTAGTTTTTACTTTTACTCCACTACATTTTACATTAAGTATCTGTACTTTCTACTACACTACATTTCTATAATGCGTTGTGTTTTAAGTTACATTCACGTTGTAGCTTTTTTATTTGTTCATTAATTTGAAAGTAACCAATGGCGAGAGGTGAGTTGGTCCATTGAATCACTGCAAAGTGGGCAGGTAACGTTAGGCCCGCCTTCAAGAAGAGCTGGGCCAACAACGTATATTCTAGTATATATGTAACTGAGCTGGGCACTCCCACAGCACCGCTAACACACCTAAAATAGATTCCACCGAGGAAAGTCAGCCAGAAGATACAGTACATGCCACCCATGGCCTTATTGAAAGACTATTGAAAGATTATTGAAAGATTATTCAGTACAGCAGGACAGCTTCTCTCTCCCAAAAGATCCAGACTGGACTTAAAAAACTTGGATAACCAACTTCTTCTGAACTTGAACAAGAAATTATTGCTGCAATATTAAGATGTATCAGTTCATGATGTTAGGAGACAAGAGATGTCTCCAAACGTCTCAACACTTGGGTCCAAGTTTTGAAAATGGTGTCAGGAAGTTAAAATATTGTTCAATATTGATCCATTACAAGGTTGAATAGACAGTATTTGAACTAGAGTTGATGACAAACTGGAGTTGAAATGATCAGCGTCTATTCCTTTGTGTCTAATGCTCCTTTTTTTCAGGCAGACAACTTTTACAAAGTACTTAAATGTGTTTACTGCAGTTAAAATGACACATTTTTTTTTATTTGTGTTAAATAAAAACTTTCAAAGGTATAATCATTCCTCTTTCCTATTTTGCTTAATGGTTTTTAACTCTGCATGTCATCCCTGAAATTCTGACGCACAGAATCACAAGTCCAAGAGTGAACTGTGTCACAGAGTAAACACAATAAAAACATGTATTATCTGCAGCATCGTTTATTAAAATGACTCAACACTGTTAATGTATTACAGAAAATATACAAACGGTAGGTACTGTCCAGATGACCTGACTGAAAAATGCTGGATTTTATACCTGGATTATTGAGCATGGACTTTGTTATATGGCAGGTACATTCAATGATATGGTAGACCATTGCATTAGGTAATACATTCAGCAAGTACTTTTACTTTTATTACTTTAAGTATTTTAAAAGCAAGTACTTATTTACTTTTACTTAAGTAAAAACATTAATGTGGTACTTCTACTTTTACTAGAGTACATTTTTGTCTGTTTATTTGTACTTTTACTTAAGTACAGTGTTTGAGTACTTTCTCCACCACTGGAAAAATACAGCAAGTTAATACCGTGGTAGAAAAGATGAAAAAACATTATTATTTTTTAATTAAGCTGTACAATAAGATCAGTGTCTGTAAATTTGACTGAATTCTTGTGATTTTTGTGTTGGATGGTGCAGGTCAGCTGTGGCAAACAGACCTGCGTTTGATTTTCTTTTGTAAACTAAACTAAGTGGATCTTCAGATCTTTGTGTGTTCACAGCTTAGACGCCGTGTCCGTTCTGTGGAACGTTACCTTGTTCGTTTTGCTGTCGCTGGGGTTCCCCTCAGGAATCGACGGAGCAGATGAAGCCTCGTCCAGGTAGGAGCTGTCATCGTCCAGCAGCAGCTCATCACCCAGCGCATCCAGCTCTGAAAGCGTTACAAAAGACACTGTGCAAAACGTGCAGCGAAATCATATGACCGCTTTGGAGATACTCAGAGCGATCAGCCATGTTCAGCCCGCCTCGGCTCACCTTCTGTCAGCGAGGCCATCGAACATGATTCATCTGCAGGAAAGAATTGGTTTACCTGCTTCCAAGTCCTCCTCGTCGATGTCCGGAACGCCGTAGCTGCGGCTCAGGGCTTCCTGGACCTCGCCGGCGTCCTCCATCATGTCCTCCAGCTGGTCCTGTAAATCCTGCGAGGCCACACATGAGTTTAAAGATGATAAATGGACTGAATCCAGCAACAGCGAACTATCAGGAAAGGATGCGTCTGATGTTGACAAACTGAATCAGTTGATGCTCCTCTGTCTGTTTTTATTTATTTTTGGAGTCATACCGCAGCCATGTCACAGCTCTGAACGCCAAATGAGCTTTTTGTATTCATGTTTTTACCATATTAAAAACCAAATACACAACAACAAAGTTCTGTTCTGGCTGGGTAACATCCACCGAAACACACCGAGTCGCACCATTTAGAGAAAACTCGTCTTTGGACCTGAGCAGACCTGACACGGTGTTTAACATTCAACAGCCACCTGTTCTCCGCTCGGACTCCTGGTCGGGTAGTTAGAGTGTTTGTGTGCTCTCCAGCTGTGTGTATACCTGCCTGTGTTCCTGATAAGCTGTTTTAGGCGTTTCCAGCTGTATCGTGGTTTATCTCTTAACCAAGAAGTTGCATTCATCAAACAAATAAATAAATAAATAAATAACTACAATGTGTCTGCTGGAGTAGCAGAAAGATAAGAATAAAGAGGGAAGGAAATCTAAGTGGCAGCGCAACTGGTAGAGCTGCTGCCTCTCAGCGAGCAGGTCCCTGGTTCAAACCCCGGTCCAGGGGCCTTTCTGGGTGGAGTTTGCATGTTCTCTCCGTGCATGTGTGGGTTTTCTCCGGGTACTCCGGTTTCCTCCCACAAACCAAAAACATGCATGTTAGGCTGATTGGTGACTCTAAATTGTCTCTAGGTGTGAGTGAGAGAGTGAATGTTTGTTTGTCTCGTTTGTCTCTATGTGGCCCTGTGATTGACTTGCGACCCGTCCAGGGTGTACCCCGCCCCTCGCACAGTGATTGCTGGACATGGGCACCAGCGACCCCCGTGACCCAAAGTGGATAAAGCGAGTAAAGAAAATGGATGGATGGATGGATGGATGGATGGAAATCTAAGTTCTTGCTCTCCTGTACACATAATCCAAAACAAAGACACAACTTTTATTTTGTCCATCTCTGCAGGGTGCTGATCCATCCATCCATCCATCATCCATCATCATCATCATCATCATC